GGTTTCAACTTCACGGCAGCAGCGGTTTCAACGTCTCCACGGCAGCAGCGGTTTCAACGTCTTCACGGCAGCGGCGGTTTCAATCACAACAGCAGCGGTTTCAACGTCTCCACGGCAGCAGCGGTTTCAACTTCACGGCAGCAGCGGTTTCAACGTCTCCACGGCAGCAGCGGTTTCAACTTCACGGCAGCAGCGGTTTCAACGTCTCCACGGCAGCAGCGGTTTCAACGTCTTCCACGGCAGCAGCAATTTCAACGGTCGTCACGGCAGCAGGACACACCTCCCCTTCCAACGTCTGCAGGACACACCTCCCCTTCCAACATCAGCAGGACACACCTCCCCTTCCAACGTCAGCAGGACACACCTCCCCTTCCAACGTCAGCAGGACACACCTCCCCTTCCAACGTCAGCAGGACACACCTCCCCTTCCAACGTCAGCAGGACACACCTCCCCTTCCAACGTCAGCAGCACACACCGCCCTTCAACGGTAGCAGGTCAACAGTAGCAGGACAACGGTAGCAGGACAACGGTAGCAGGACAACGGTAGCAGGACAACGGTAGCAGGACAACGGTAGCAGGACAACGGTAGCAGGACAACGGTAGCAGGACAATGGTAGCAGGACAACGGTAGCCAACGCAGCAGCTATAGCAGACAGCAGCCGCACTGAATCAGCCACGATTCTGTCAAGAGAGGAGACGAGGGGAGGGGGAAGCGGCTAGAACCTTTGGCAGAGCGGTGGCGAGGTTTTGACTGGGATGGTGGGTGGCGCGGAGGCAAAGGGCAACTTAGTGTGCATGCTCAGGCCAAGGGGTTGTGGCATGCGGTGGTCGGGGAGCTTCAAGGGAATCTGTGATGGAGGCTGGTCCTGACCAACCGGCCGGCCGGCGGTTGCAATGGATACCACACACTCCAGGTAGCGATTCCCTTGGGGTGACTCGGTTACCACAAGTTTTTCCTCACTGGCGTGGGTGAGGAGGACTTGATGCCACGGACTTTTCCACACTGGCGTGGGTGTGGAGGGTCCTTTCCTCTTGGTGCCCTTTGAATCCTTTGCTACTCGCCGAACAGTCAGTTCCTCAAACCCGTGATGCTGAGGAGGGGGTGAAGGAGTGGGGTAGCTGCTGTTAAGGGAGGAGGGAAGCTGCTAAGGGCTGTTAAGGAAGCTGCTAACGGCTGTTAAGGAAGCTGCTAAGGGCTGCTAAGGAAGCTGCTAAGGATGCTGCTAAGGATGCTGCTAAGGACTGCTAAGGGAGCTGCTAAGAAGCTGCTAAAGAAGCTGCTAAGGAAGCTGCTAAGAGCTGCTAAGGGAACTGCTAATGATGCTGCGTAGGGCTGTTAAGGAAGCTTCTAAGGGCTGCTAAGGAAGCAGCAGAGAAGGGGTGAAGCAACAGAGAAGGGGTGAAGCAGCAGAGAAGGGGTGAAGCAACAGAGAAGGGGTGACGGAGAGAAGGGATGGAGGGATGAAGCAGATACCCTGCTTTTTAGGGTTTCACGGAGGTTTTTAGCAGCTGGGGTTTCACGGAGGTTTTTAGCCGAATGAACGGCAGTACCCTGCTTTTTAGGGTCTCAGTCCGTCGGCAAACCCACGCAAGGGGGAGCTGGCGGGACGGATTTTTATCCTCCCATGGCTCGTGCACGAGCCCACACCAAAAAAAAAAAAAGGGTAGGAGAGAAGTTGTGAAGGGGTGAAGCTGTGAAGTGGTGAAGGGGTGAAGGAGTGAAGGGGTGTAGCAGTGTAGCAGTGAAGCAGTGAAGCAGTGAAGCAGTGTAGCAGTGTAGCAGTGTAGCAGTGTAGCAGCGAAGCAGCGAAGCAGTGTAGCAGTGTAGCAGCGAAGCTGTGAAGCAGTGTAGCAGTGTAGCAGTGAAGCAGTGTAGCAGTGAAGCAGTGTAGCAGTGTATCAGTGTAGCAGTGAAGCAGTGAAGCAGTGTAGCAGTGTAGCAGTGTAGCAGTGTAGCAGTGTAGCAGTGTAGCAGTGTAGCAGTGTAGCAGTGTAGCAGTGTAGCAGTATAGCAGTGTAGCAGTGTAGCAGTGTAGCAGTGTAGCAGTGAAGCTGTGAAGCTGTGAAGCAGTGTAGCAGTGAAGCAGTGTAGCAGCGAAGCAGTGTAGCAGTGTAGCAGTGTAGCAGTGTAGCAGTGTAGCAGTGAAGCAGTGTACAAGAAGAAGCAGCGAAGCAGTGCAGCAGTACAGTCCATGACTGGTAGTGAAGGGAAGGGTGGGTGAGTAGAAAAGTAGCAGAGCAGATAAGAAGGTGAATGGAGCAGAAGGGGGACAGAGAAGGGGAGAAGAGGAGGGGTGAACCCACCCAAGGGGGAGCTGGCGGGACGGATTTTTGTCCTCCAATGGCTCGTGCACGAGCCCACACCAACAAAAAAAAAAAAAGTGGTTTGTTGGAGAAGGGGTGAGAGAAGGGAAGGAGAGAAGGGGTGTAGTAGAAAAGGGAAGGAGAGAAGGGGTGTCAGAGAAGGGGGGAAGGAGAGAAGGGGTGAAGCAGAGATGGTATGAAGGAGAGACAGGGTGAAGCAGAGATTGGGTGAAGGAGAGTCAAGGTGAAGCAGAGATTGGGTGAAGGAGAGACAAGGTGAAGCAGAGATTGGGTGAAGGAGAGACAAGGTGAAGCAGAGAGTGGGTGAAGGAGAGATTGGGTGAAGGAGAGACCGGATGAGGCAGAGATGGGTTGAAGGAGAGTAGGGGTGAAGCAGAGATGGGTTGAAGGAGAGTAGGGGTGAAGCAGAGATGGGTTGAAGGAGAGTAGGGGGTGAGGAGAGAGAAGGGGTGAAGCAGAGAGAAGGGGTGAAGCAGAGATAAGGGGTGAAGCAGATCAGAAGGGGTGAAGCAGATGAGAAGGGGGTGAGGAGACAAGGGGTGAAGCAGAGATAAGGGGTGAAGCAGAGATAAGGGGTGAAGCAGAGAGAAGGGGTGAAGCAGATGAGAAGGGGTGAAGCAGAGATTGGGTGAAGGAGAGACAAGGTGAAGCAGAGAGTGGGTGAAGGAGAGATTGGGTGAAGGAGAGACCGGATGAGGCAGAGATGGGTTGAAGGAGAGTAGGGGTGAAGCAGAGATGGGTTGAAGGAGAGTAGGGGGTGAGGAGAGAGAAGGGGTGAAGCAGAGAGAAGGGGTGAAGCAGAGATAAGGGGTGAAGCGGATCAGAAGGGGTGAAGCAGATGAGAAGGGAGTGAGGAGATAAGGGGTGAAGCAGAGATAAGGGGTGAAGCAGAGATAAGGGGTGAAGCAGAGAGAAGGGGTGAAGCAGAGATGGGTTGAAGGAGAGTAGGGGGTGAGGAGAGAGAAGGGGTGAAGCAGAGAGAAGGGGTGAAGCAGAGATAAGGGGTGAAGCAGATCAGAAGGGGTGAAGCAGATGAGAAGGGGGTGAGGAGATAAGGGGTGAAGCAGAGATAAGGGGTGAAGCAGAGATAAGGGGTGAAGCAGAGATTGGGTGAAGGAGAGACAAGGTGAAGCAGAGAGTGGGTGAAGGAGAGATTGGGTGAAGGAGAGACCGGATGAGGCAGAGATGGGTTGAAGGAGAGTAGGGGTGAAGCAGAGATGGGTTGAAGGAGAGTAGGGGGTGAGGAGAGAGAAGGGGTGAAGCAGAGAGAAGGGGTGAAGCAGAGATAAGGGGTGAAGCGGATCAGAAGGGGTGAAGCAGATGAGAAGGGAGTGAGGAGATAAGGGGTGAAGCAGAGATAAGGGGTGAAGCAGAGATAAGGGGTGAAGCAGAGAGAAGGGGTGAAGCAGATGAGAAGGGGTGAAGCAGATGAGAGGAGGGAAGCTGCTAAGGGCTGTTAAAGAGCTGCTAAGGGCTGTTAAGGAAGCTGCTAACGACTGTTAAGGAAGCTGCTAAGGTCTGCTAAGGGAGCTGCTGAGAAGCTGCTAAGAGCTGCTAAGGAAACTGCTAAGGGCTGCTAAGGAAAACGCAGAGAAGGGGTGAAGCAGCAGAGAAGGGGTGAAGGAAAGGGATGGAGAGTAGAGATGGAGGGACGAAGCAGATAAGCAGCTGGGGTTTCACGGAGGTTTTTAGCCGAATGAACGGCAGTACCCTGTTTTGAGGGTCTCGGTCCGTCGGCAAACCCACCCAAGGGGGAGCTGGGGGGACGGATTTTTATCCTCCCATGGCTCGTGCACGAGCCCACACCAAAAAAAAAAAAAAAAAAAAAAAAAAAAAAAACAGTGAAGGAGTGAAGGGGTGAAGCAGTGAAGGGGTGAAGCTGTGAAGGGGTAAAGCTGTGAAGGGGTGAAGATGTGAAGGGGTGGAGTGAAGGGGTGAAGGAGTGTAGCAGTGTAGCAGTGAATCAGTGAAGCAGTGTAGCAGTGTAGCAGTGAGTGAAGCAGTGTAGCAGTGAATCAGTGTAGCAGTGTAGCAGTGTAGCCGTGTAGCAGTGTAGCAGATAAGAAGGGGAGTAGAGCAGAAAAGAAAGGGAATGGAGCAGAAGGGGGACAGCGAAGGGGAGAAGAGGAGGGGAGTAGAGAAGAAGGGGAGTCTAGCAGTGTAGCAGCGTAGTAGTGAAGCAGTGAAGCAGTGTAGGAGAAGCAGCAGCGAAGCAGGCAGCAGTACAGGCCATGATTGGTGTAGTGAAGGGAAGGGTGAGTGAGTAAAAAAGTAGCAGAGCAGATAAGAAGGGGAGTAGAGCAGAAAAGAAGGGGGAATGGAGCAGAAGGGGGACAGCGAAGGGGAGAAGAGGAGGGGAGTAGAGAAGAAGGGGAGTACAGAGGAGTGGAGTAGATATCGCAAAGATAGGCTGGGGAAGGATGGATTGGTGTAGAAGTGAGCCTGAGTTGAGGAGTTAAGGCACTTCCATTACATTGCAGGGTAGATGTTGTAACTGATGTGTACCTTGTACCTCTATAATGGTTTTATGTACGTAGCTTGTTATGTTCAAGTGGTAATTAGAGAAATGGAGCTTTTTCACAGATAATGCCATTCAACTCCCTTGCATTATTGCTCTTGTATTAGTGCACCAACATACATGGAGGTTGTATCACATGGAGGTTCCTGCTGCTACCACTAATCCTCTTCACTGGCAGTGGACAGTGGAACCCACCACCCAACACCAGGCAGGGGGCGAAAGGCACTGAACACCAGGCAGGGGATTTCACCGCACAGTGCAAGCTGGGCTTGCGGTGGTAGCTTACAACATGACTGCATTCTTGGCATACACACTTCTCCAGCCCGACAAGACACCATGCACAGCAAGTGACACATGGCATATGCATGCAGTTTGGCATGCCTATCCTCATGAAGGTTGATGGGGACATTGAGCTACTCTGGGGATATCCAAGAGCCCTCGTTCTTGGTTGATTGTGGGCGAAATTCTGGTGGGGGTTCACTCATAGAGGCATTGGTAATGCAATGAGACTTCTGAACGCGACCACACGCGAGGAAAAGCACCCGTGGCGAACGGGTGGCAAGTGATATGGTAGCATCAGTTGTACTTGAGCCACTTGCGTTCAATGCTCCTCAATACCTGTATCACGTCTCCATGTCCCACAGTGGTGCACGGCAAGGCAGGCAGGGCAGCACGGGCTACTGCGTGCAGCGAGGCAGCTTGGCGTGCAGGGCAAGGAACGCAGCGCACTGCTGTGACAGGGTGGCAGGGAGCGAGGGGTCCACGAGACAGGGATTGGAGAGAGCGGCAGGGATGGAGAGGCTGCAGAGCACAAGGCAACCCGCCAGCCAGACAGGCCGAACAGTAAGCGTGGACGAGGAGTTGCTGGTGGTGTTGCTGCCGGTGCTGTGCTGTGGCTGTGGCCGGGCATGTGCCTGCAGGGAGACAGTGTTGGGGAGGAAGCTGTCAGTGTGGTGCATGGATGGGCAGTATGCGTGGAGCGAGTGTGCAAGAGCTGCGACAGACAATGCAGGCCCTTGCATTCCCCACACCTCTTCATCCCCCACGCCCCTTCATCCCCCACTCTCTCTCTCTCTCTCTCCCATACCTGAACGAGGTCCAGAAGCTGGGGCAGAACAGCGCGAGGTAGCAGGCCCGCACCAATGAGCCTGTGACACGTGGCGATGGCGGGCAGAGACAGCTGGCGGGTTCGCCAGAGCGAGCCCACGAGAGCAGAGACCCGGGCAGGTTGGAAGATTTGAGAGAGCCATCGAGGAGGGGCGGTGGGTGGGGCGAGGTGAAAGCAGGAGGCAGCGATGTGGAGGGCTTCTAGGCTGTGGGAGAGCAGGAGGTCCAGCAGGGCGGGCGAGGGGCACGAGGAGGACTGGGCTTTCACTGCTTCCCCAGCAGGCCTGCTCTCACCTGCTCGCACCGCTGCTGCATCTGGTGCAGCAGCAGTGACAGCGGCAGCAGAAGGTCCAGCAGCAGTGGCAGCAGCGGCGGCAGTGATAGAGGCAAGGGCATCGTCTAGCAGCAGGCGAGTCCAGGGGCTGGCTGCCAGGGGGAGAGCGACAGAGGCTGGATCAAAGCAGTGCAGCAGTAGGGAGAGTGCGAGGCACGTGTTGCGCCGCACAGGGGGGTGTGGGCACGAGGCTGCATGCTGCAGCGCAGCAGCGATCGGCCAGAAGACAGCGGCAGGGAGGGGAGGGAGAGCAGTGGGGGGAGCAGGAGTGGGAGGGGTCAGGGGGGAGGGCTGAGTGGATGGTACATCATACTGGCGCTCCTGCTGCTCCTGCTGTGACAAGCGTAGGTTGCTTTCACCTGGGGTGTTCACTGGTGCAGGCAGCAGGGGTGGTACGGCAGGATGGGCAAAAGGGACAGAGCCGCCTTGGTCCAAGGGTAGTGCAGGGCGATGTGCTGAGGAGGCACGTGCAGGGAGGGCGAGAGAGGAGAGGCAGGAGAGCAGGGCGCACGAGGCAAGGTCAGCAGCCACAAAGGAGTCTTGCATGCTCGCATGCCCGCATCTCCCACCCGCCCTCCCTGCCCATGACCTGCTCTCCGCTCCCTTCCTCTCATCCCCATCGGCCTTGCCGCAACCACTGCTGTTCCCAGGGGGACGGCCTGGTCCCGCTGCTCCTCCCACCCGCTGCTCTCTGCTGTGTGCGGCCACGGTGGCGGGCAGCTGGGCGGCAGCGGCCGCGAGCAGAATGGCAGCGAGGTCGCAAGCGGAGGCCAAGCTCAGCACGGCGGGGCGCTCCTGCTGCTGCGCCTGCCGCATGGGGGCTGCTGGGTCGCCCTGACTGGCACAGCCTGCGGCAGGACTAGTGGCGCTTTCAGCTGCTGCTGCTGGTATGGCTGCTGGTGTCGCTGCTGGTTGCGGCGATGGAGGCGAGAATCGCAGCGAGAGATTGAGAGGTGGAATGCCTGAGGGGAGAATGGATGCAGCCTCGAGTGCATGCACCCTGTGGTGGGAGGACAGGCAGTTGGGGCAGGCAGCAGAGAGGGCATGCTTGTGAGAGCTGCCGGCTGTGAGAGCTGGTGAGGTGTAGGAGCATACTGAAGCTCAAAAGACTATGCTCGATGTTGGGGTACTTGTTGTGGAATACCTATCAGGCAGTGCCCGATGACTGGTGCATGCATCATTAGTGGTAGGGTGGAGGGGGCAGGGGCGTACGTACCATGAGACACGCAGGTTGAAGAAGGTGAGACAGGAGAGCAGCACACGGCAGGAGTAGCCTTGCCACACTCCCCCACTCCCTCGCGCCTGCACCACACCCACACCACATCCCCCTCCTTGCGTCCCCCCACCAGCCACTGCTGGCGTGTCCTCGAGATCACCAGTGGTTCCACAGATGCCACGTGCAGCAGCCCGCACACACCCCTCTGTGAAGCCCACAAGAGCCGCGCTCATCATGATGGTGCCAGCCGCATTCACCACGTCCTCGTTTGCCTCCACCACTGCCATCAGCCGCGCATCGCCCACTGTACGACTGCTGCCCGATCTTGCTCCGTTGAGCTCGTTGGGTTGGCTGCATGGGTCAGCGCCACTGGGTGTGTAGAGTGTTGTTGCGTGCCACAGCAGTGCGTTGATCACGCTCAACGCCCCCACCAGCACCTGCTCCCTCTCGCCACGCTCCTCCTGCTCGCTCCCTGCGCCACCATCACCACTATGCACCTGTGCCTGCCTGTATGCCTGGCTATATTGCTGCTGCTGCTGCTGCGGCTGCTGTTGTTGTGAGAGAGTGGGAGGAGCAGCGCTCGCAGTGCTGCTGACAGCAGTAGGTTCCACCAGTGGCTCAACCACAATCAGCACCTGGGACGGGTAGCATTGGCGCCATGGGAGGCATGCACGTACCGAGTTTGATTACAATGAATTTTTTCCTTATAAGAAAAGAGAGGCACATGATGGTGCATACGGGAACAGCAAGATCTCCTCTCACCTGCTGCGCTAAGCGTTCCCACGCTGTTGCCTGCTGTGGCGATGACTGCAGCCGCCCTCCCATGCGCGGAGGGACGGGGGGCTTAGGGGGCAGGTGAGAGAGCAGGCGGGCCAGCAGGTGCAGGGTGGAGAGCAGCAGAGGCGGCGGTAGGTTAGAGCCGCTCAGCAGCATGGCCTCTATGTACTGGTGCACGCACACAGTGGGGGGGAGGGGGGCGAAGGGAGGCAAGAAACGGAGGGAGGGAGCAAGAAGGGTGTGTGGTAGCAGAAGAGAGGGGAGGCAGTTGGCTATGGCATCGTGGGATACACAAGAAGAACCAATTACGAGCAATAACAAGGCACAACTCTTCAAGGTAGCAGCTGTTGAGGCACAGGGAGAACGGATGTCACTGACGTACCATGGTTGAGAGCGCCCCTTGCTCCAATCGGGCACTCAAATGCGGATGCCTGTCCACCAGGATCGCCAGTGCCTCAGTCACCTGTGCCAGCTGCTGCCACTCCCCCCTCGCCCGCCACATCTCCCTCACCACCCCTGCCACCACCCTAGCACATCGCCTCCCTGCCTCCTCCTTGTCACCGCCCAGCTCTTCCACTCCATGGCTGCTCGCATTGCTGTTCTCACTGCCATGGCTGAGCAAGCTACCGAGAGCATCCAGCTCCGGCGTCTCACCACTCGCAGCACAAGCACCCGTGCCTGTACTCTCACCTACATTCCTTAATCTGCCACCACCGCTGCCTGCTGCTGCTGCTGCATTGCTGATCCCAGGGGAGGGGCCTGGAGCAGAGGGAGGCGGCAGGGAGGCAGCAGCAGCGCAGAGCCAGGAGTGGACGAGGCTGTGGCTCAGCTCCTCCAAACCGTCCTGTAGTAGGATCCAGTGCGGTAGAGCCAGGTGCCAGGCGGTGAGGGGGAAGGAGAGCACTGCAGCGTGGCGGTGCAGGAAGCAGAGGAGGCGGTGCTGCGCGTCAAACGAGACAGTGGAGCAGCAGGGGCGCAGCAGCGCGTGCAGCGACAGGAACACCAGCAGGAAGAAGGTGGAGCGGGTGGCGGTGGCGGGTGGGGGAGAGTGGGCGTCCGAGGGGTGGTTGTGGGGAGAAGGTGCGAGGGAGGGGAGGGGGAGGAGTGGCGATCTGAGTGGTGGGATGCGGTTGGAGAGCACCAAGCTCTGCAGCGCGCCAAGCATGTCCTCATAGTCCACCAGCCTGCTCCGCACAGGAGAGACACACGTGCCATGGGTGTTGGCGAGGCACAAGGGGAGAGAAACGGAGAGGTGAAATGGGAGAGTGTGCGCAGGTGGAAGGACCTGCATGTGTGCATGTTTGTGGGAAGCAGCAAGATTTTCCAGTGAGGCAGCTTACCTGTCGTCGAATTGCACAGCAGCGTACAGAATCAGCAGCACCACCCACTGCACCGCCTGCACCTCCTCCTCCTCACCAGCATCCCCCTCCCTGCTCTCGCTCCCCTGGTAACGCCACTGCATATCTCTTGCCAGCCTGCCAGCATCCGGTTCCCCCCTGCCCTCCGCGAGCAGCAGCACCATGTCACTGACAGCCCACGGCATGCGCTCCACCCCTGCCACGCCCACCACCCACTGCACCACTGCTTGCCCCTCCTCGCCTGTTGCCGCCACGGTAGCCAGCAGCACTGCAAAGCGCAGGCTTGCTCTGCGCAGCACGTGCCACTTGCTGCCCTCTGACGCCTGGGGAGGAGCGACAGACTGGGGCCGCCAGGATGGGGCTGCACGTGAGGAGGCAGTGGGTGGGTGGAAGGCTTGCAGGGAGGAGAAGACGAGGGAGAGGGTCCAGCTGGAGGCGAGCTTGGCTGCGAACTGGCGTGCGATGGGTGCGAGGGCGGGCAGTGGACACGCTAGCACGTGACTGAGCACGTCGTATGTGCGGGAGAGAATGGCAGCAGGGTCGGTAAAAGGCAGTGGTGGTGCTGCAGGTTGGGGCGCGTGCATGTGACCAGGTGGAGGTTGCGGCTGTGGGTGCAGGGAGAACATGAAGGGAGCAACATGCATGTCCGCAGCAGCCATGAGAGCACTGGCTATGTCGTCAAGGCAGCACTGCAGGGCTGTGGGGGTGTGAGACGGAGACACAGAGGGCGCCTTTGCACCCCACTCTTGAGTCTTATCGGCCGTTCCTCGCATGTACGCCCCGCCTGCTCTACCAAGGTTCGCTAAGCCCCTTCCCACGCCCTCCTGCTGGCTGTTGTGGAACATGGGAGCGCCCTGCGACCCCCCCACCATCGCCAACAGCCCCGCGTCCTGCTGGGACGATGTCAGAGCAGCAGCGGCAGAAGGAGTGGAGTTGAGTGAGTTTCCCTGGGCGTGCAGGAAGCGCTGAGCACAGGCGTGCAGGAAAGTGAGAACAGCCACAGCCACCTCATCCGTCCCACCTGCCGCACCACATGCAGCTGCAGGGAGGGCTGATGAGGATGCCCCTTGGAGCTTGGCGCCCGTGCCTGTGAGTGACCCACCCGTGCTGGGCACGTCCTGAAGGGCTGGCAGAATAGACGCCCCATCACCCACACACTGCTCCAACAACCGCAGCAGCTGCATGTTCTCTGTGCCAATGATGCTCTGCCACGTGGCGAGCACAGCGAGGGCAAAGCAGGCGGTGGAGAAAGCTTCATTCTGGTCCAGCACCCACCGCTTCCTCTCCCGTGCGTCCACACAGAATCGCCGCACCACCCCTGCCAGAGCAGACGCCAGCCCGTGCAACCTTGCTGGACGGAACTGACTGGCATCCCTAGGGCTGGCACGCGCGGAGCGCAGGGCGTGCAGGAAGACGGAGATGGAGAGCGCCTGCAGGTGGAAGTCGTTGGCCTCTGTGGCGTTGTGCAGCAGCGATGCGAGCGTGTCGAAGCCAAACACAAAGCGCCGTGCAAACGCCTGCCCTGCAGGTCCAGGCGACGCTGCGAGGTGCAGCAGGCATGAGAGGGCGGCCGGCACCAACGGGTCCGCTACTAGACCTGAGATGCACAAGCGCAGGGCATAGAGAGTGAGAATACGACGGGTGTGATGATCACACAGGGCGAGGAGTGTGGGGATGCAAACAAAGTGCGCCACATTGGTTATGTCGCAAGATGGGATGGGGCACATCAGCGGTTGCAGTGACTGGCTGGGAAAGGAAGGAGTGTTGCTCACCGCTGTGTGCAGAGCGGAGCAGCTAAAAGACGTGCTCTGCCAGCCCCTCATCCAGCATCGCCTGTAGTGCCGCTGCTCCCCGTTCATCCACCAACCCCCCACCATCACCCCCCCTCATATCATCCTGGTTACACCAGTCCTCCTCCCACGCCTCCCTCGCCACCCAGTCGAATCTGGACCGTTCGTCGGAGCCAGAGCCATCATGTGAGGGCGCAGAGGAGAGAGCGAGTTGGGAGATGAGGTGCAGGGCTGCGAGGTGCAGGGCGGAGTCAGCAGCGAGCAGTGTCTTCTTGAGCCCCTCGCACAGCATCATGCGCAGGCCCAGGGGGCCCTTGCCCTGCGTGTGCACGGCCTGGCTCGCACGGGGGTTCTGAGAACCCACTGCCGCGTAGCCCTGCGAACCAAGCCCGTGCATGGCAGCACCTCCCGCCTGCTGCGGTTCTGGGTGGTCCAGACGCGCGAGTGAGGAGAGGGTGAAGGCAGGGTGGGAGGGAGCGGAGAGGGCGGTGAGGAGGGCGACGCAGTTGGCAGAGACGTCGCTGCTGTCCGTGGAGAGCAGCAGGGCGATGCCCGCACACACCATGCCAGGCAGCTTCTCCTCCAATAGCTGCATGCCACCTGGCAGGCTGCAGAGCTTGTGCAGCACGAACAGGCTCTCTGCACGGATGCTGTCCCTGCAACACCGAAAAGAGCCGACCAGAACAGGAGGGAAATCGTATCAGGCATGGTAGTGTGGGGATCACATCAGAGTCTGTAGCCTATACCTCGTCGTGCTTCCATGATTCCGAAAAACAGTTATGTCCTTCGCACGTGGGACAAAAGGAATATACGAGCGAGTTCGACGGAATTGATGCGAGGTAGGATTCGTACTGTGCCTGCTTGTGAAGCGTGCTGACCACGTGACTCCACAGGCCGTTCTGCTGCGCCAACCACGCTGGCAACGCGCTGTAGCGGTTGCACGCGACCGTCAGGAGCTTCCCCAGAAGGACCAGCTGAGCAAAAAAAAAAAAAAAAAACAAATGAAAAATGTGAAGACATGAAGGGAAGACGTTTCAACTAGCAGAATCTCGGGCGCAGCGGCGTACCAAGAAGCAGTGGCCGCTGGAGGAGGAGGCGACGGGGACCTTATCCATCTCCACCGCCACCGCGCGAACCAGATTCTCCAGCAGCAACCCCTCGTCGCTCCCGCTCGCGTCGTTCCTTCCGCTGCGACCGCTCCCCTTGCTCACAAGAAAGACCACCAAGTCCGCTAACGTCGCCGCAAGTTCCTCGTCTCGCGAGCACGCGAGGGCTTGCACGAGCGGAGCCGCGAGCAGGTAATGCGACTCGGCCGCGACCAGACGGCATAGGTCGGGCTCGGATCGAAGCGTGTCGAGGAAGAAGCGCGCCGATATGATCTTGTGCGTCGCGAGGCCGGGCCCTGAGAGCGTTTCCGACAGACATTGCGGGCAAAACTCGGAGCCGGTCGCGAGGAGCACGGCAAGCGTGTGCTGGCACCGCGGCGCACCCCCTTTGCACTGCCGTCTCGCGGAATTGCTGGGGAGATTATACCTATCCATGGCGGAAGCGGCGCATCCAGTGTGGATCCAGTACTACTGTGCCTCGTGCTGCAGCAACTGGTGTGGTGGAGGGTGTTACGGGCAGAGCAAGTGGAGGGGTCCATGGCGAGCGAGTGCGGCAGTGAGCAAGGACGTCTTGGGGGAGGAAAAAGGAAATCTCGAGGCAGCC